GGCCGCGTATTGTTGTCCCCAAGGCCTTGGGCTTTGCACCGAAGCTGCATCATCCTACGCACTCGACGACAGATTTAGTCTCTCAGTTATTTAGGTTTTTCTCGCTGCACACAGAGAAAATAACAACGCAAGCAAGTATTTGTACCAGTTGTCGTTCCTTGGTACAGTATCTCTCGTTTTGCGAGGAGAAGGTGGTAAATTACGTGGGGAATAGGGCACGAGCTCTTGGTGCCACCGGTGTAGTCGGGGTGTCTGTCCACTTGTCATGTATGGGACGTAGTATGCTGCACTTCGTGCGCAAATAGAGTATTTGACTGTATGTGGACGTGGAGGAGCAAAGTATAGAAAAAGAGAGGGGGGGTGTTGCGTGCGAACCGTCCACTGTTTGCGGGCGCAAACCTTGCCAGTGGCACAGGGGACCCCCCCCCTGTTTAACCTCCGGGTTCGCAGAAAGTCGCGACGGTCGCGTGGCGGTACGTGGTAGAATAGCAGCAGCAACAGCAGCAGCAGTGCTTCGCGGTGGTAGTTGCTTCAAGACACACGCCTTACTGTGCTGAGGCCACTTCTTGTACCCGGAATGCGCGTTACGCGAGAACTTGGGGGTAGAAACGGGGGGCCATCACGGCCAGTCACGCAAGCGTTTTTGGCACGCCGTCCTCCATATGTTTCATGAAGAGGCTTAGCGGGGGGGGGATTGCGCCATGGACTCCAGCGTACCGGTCGTCTGTGGTTTTCCTACCTCTCCAAAGGGCTGTGAGACGATTGATCAGTGTGTTGTTATCGGGCGGAAAAATGTGCATGTACAGAGGGTAAACCGGGAGCTCGTTGAGTTTTGCTTCTTGTGGCGTTTTGTGTGCGCAGGACAACGCGTGTTGGCTTTGGTTTTGTCATTTTTCTGTCGGGACCACTGAACTTCTCTGGGTGGTGAGACGTTTTGGGCGAGCCCATTTGCTCGGAGAGGGGGGGGGGAGGGCTCAAGAGGTGTATTGTCGCGGCATCTGTCGTGGTGCGGCAACGGCGGTGGTTATGCCGTGTACGTACCGTGAAAATACTACAGATCATCGATTGGCGGGTAAGGTGGAACGCCCCTGGTCCTAGACAATTTGTGCGTACGAATCGGGCATGTCCACGCACGCACGGGTGATGATGATGGCGGATTTTTTGTGAAGTTTCTTTTGTTCTCTCGAAAAAACGCCCCATGTTGGTTGTTGTGGTTTTTGAGAGAAACGGGGTCTGCTGGTATCGGTTGGCAACACGCACAAGTTCACCGCTGAGGTGCTGTGTGTGTAGCAGGCAAAACCGTGGAGGGAGAGCGGGCAGTACTTGGGTATTGTAAGCGGTATTATTGTGAAGTAGCCGCAGGATTGATTCTTCCCCCGTTCGGGTGGTATATGGGACGGGTTTTCCGGGTTTGTTCGTACTCCCCGACAGGAGGTACTCCCCGACAGGAGGGCGGGGGGTGGATTAGACGCAGGAGTCTCTTTTCGAGAGATGGAGTGCGACAAGACATGGGGTCAAGCGTCCGACGGACCAGTACACAAGGCAAACAAAATGCATGTTTTGACGTTTCATTGAAACGCACGGAAGGCCGTGTGTTCGTTTACTTACAATTTGCCTCTCATTAACGTGCTTGAAGGGAAGTGGAAAAGTTGAGCTTTTTTGTGGATGGATCTGGTCGTGATTTGAAGGATTTTACGTGCATCGTGGTGTCGGCGTTTGGGTGGGGGGCAAGGGGGGGGGGGGGGGGGGGGGGGGCCCCCCCCCGGAACGGGGGACCAGGAATTAAAAAAAGGGGGGGGGTGTTTGAAACGGGAAAAAAAAAAAAACCCCCCCAAACCCGGGGAAATTTAGGGGAAGGAGGGAAAAAACCCCTCCTTCCCAAAAATAATTTTAAACCCTTTGGTTTTTCCCCGGGGAATTGCCTTTTTTTTCAAAACCCCCCCCGGGGTTTTCCGGGAACCCCCCCGAAAAGAGGGCCCCCCCCCTTTTTTTT